GGAAGGGAGAATTGGAGATTAATTATCCAATTAATATGCCTTACAATTTACAGATAATACTTATTATCAAATTTTAACAGTAATCTAAAATGTATTTTTTAGGTTTAAAACCCATGCTTATCAATATATCAAATGCAATTTTAGAACAAATACTAATTACTATAAATACAAAAGTTTTCCTTGATATAATAAAACTAAAAGAATTCCATTCATCACATAGACAAATTCCAAGTAATAAATTAAGATAATATATGAATATATTAGCAAGTTAACCACGCTTAGAAGACTTTTTTAAGTGGATGACTTCGTTCCCGCACTTATATGTGAGACACTTGTAAATACATCAATTTTCTTTATCTTCGCACATGAGATTTCACTTTTATTTTTTACTGATTTTCTTTTAATTACCTGACCATAATTTTATGTGCATCTTAAGTTTAAAAAAGGGAAACTTTACAACTATGGGAGCAAAGCTACCATACCAGTTAACACAGGACCGGTTTGTGTTTCCATTACCTTTTCTGGGTTGAATCCCACAGAGCTCAATTTACAGGTAAAGTAGGAGAATTCTGCCCACTCACTTTTTGTTCTCATCTTTTCATCAGGCATGTCTTATCACTAAATACCATGAGCACTTCCTCGTCATCACCTTCTCCCTCACAATGCTTCTGGAGCTATCTTGCTCTTTCCTTCCTGCATCCTGCCCCCAGTTTCCCTGTTTCTTGCATTCCTACATCATTTTCCTTCTATGTATCTATTTGCCTTTGAGTGCTCCTGTGTTTACAGTCTGTCATTAGTTTAGGAGCAAGAGAATACACGATCTTCCAAGTTGTCAGTGAAAATCAGAAACTACACTTTTCGCCCTTGTTTCTAGTTAAGACACCTGAAAATACAAATGGAATGTACCGAGTTCATTCCAGAAGTCCTATATATTCATCTGCCCAGTTTTCCCCTTTTCTCATGAGTTTATATACCATGAGATCAGTAAGAATGTCATGAAAAAATAAAGATGATAGATATAATGCGACTTGCAAATTATAATCTGCTTAAGTATCTGATCATTCAATTGCTAAATGATTTGAGATTTTTTTTTTTCAATCTGCCTAAAAACCCAGTAGCAGCCCTGGTGGTCTTGTGGTTAAGAATCAGCATTCCCACCACCATGGCCCGGTTCATTTCAGGTGAGGGAACCCCACCACCTGTCTGTCAGTTGTCATACTACGGTGGCTGTGTGTGGCTGGGATGCTGAAAGCTCTGCCACCGGTATTTCAAATACCAGCAGGGTCACCCAGAGGGGACACATTTCACCAGAGCTTTCAGACTAAGACAGACTAGGAAGAAGGACCTGGCCACCCACTTCTGAAAAAACTGGCCACGAAAACCCTATGGATAGCAGCGGAGCAGTGTCTGATACAGAGCTGGAAGGTGAGAGGCTGGCACAAAAAGACTGGGCGGGGTTCTGTCTGCTCTCCACAGGGCACTAGGAGTTGGAATTGACTGGACAGCACTCACCACCACAACAACAATAACAACCCAGGTAGGATCAAATGGTAGGATTTTGGGTGACTGAATTTGAAATGTGAAAATAAAGCTCAAATATTGAAACTTTCTTCTAAGGACTCTCAAATAAAATCATAAAGGAATGAATTTAAGACCAGAATCTAAGGGCCAGTGTTACTATCCCTGCTTCATGCTGTGCATGAATTCATGTCAAAATGTAGAGTGGAAGGGCTGGCCCCGTGGCTTAGCGGTTAAGTGCGCACGCTCCGCTGCTGGCGGCCTGGGTTCGGATCCCAGGCGCGCACCGACACACCGCTTCTCCGGCCATGCTGAGGCCGCGTCCCACATACAGCAACTAGAGGGATGTGCAACTATGACATACAACTATCTACTGGGGCTTTGCGGGGAAAAATAAATTAAAAAAAAAAAAATGTAGAGTGGAAAACTATTCTGAATATCCACAGTAATTCATTTAATTCTCACAACAACCCAAAGAAGTAGGTATTGCTGTCATCCCATTTTAGAGATGAGGAAACTATAGATGGAGAAATTAAGTAATTTGTCCAAGGTCACTCAACCATCAAGAGGCAGGACCAGGAGTTTAACTCAGGCAGTCCTGCTCCAGAGCCCATTTTCCTAACCTCTCAACCAAATCGTACTGCTTTTCTAGAATCTGCTGCTTCTCCTACACAACTGACAGGAAATCTTCGCCTCCAAAAAAGGCTGACATCATAAGTCAGGTAGCTATGTTGGAAATCTAAAGATACCAGAAGTGTTGCCAAGGGTGTGCCAATATTCCCTGCCTCTTCCACAAGTGTTATTTGACATGAGAAGAGCTTGGAGTCACAGCACTTCTCAGCCCATTGATGAGAATGTCACCCAGATGTGTCCCTAATCCCTTAATGCATCAGTAGCCTCCTGAGTTACAAAGTGGTTTTATAAGTGAAAGTGCCTTATAAACTGTAAAACAATTAACATGAGGCATTCTTACATTCAGCATCTCTCATTTCCCCCTCTCTCTGCCTCAATTTAACCCCCATGGCCAGCAAGTCTTTTCAGGTTCTGAGCACTCTGTGTGGACCATGACAGTAACATCCCAGCTGGCCTCTGGGACTTCCACCTCTCGTGAGGCCAGCCTTCCTGCACAGTATTGTCCTTAAACAGCATTTTCTTCACAATGTTTCTTCCTTAAACAGCATTTTCTTCACAGTGCTTCTCAGCTCAAAATTTTCCATGATAACTTATTTCTTACCTGAAAGTAGAGGCTGCTTGAGAGGCTACAGGTAAAATGGTGGTCTTTTCCTGAATTCAACTCTAAAATGTTATTACATTCCAAAATCATTTTTCCTTTTTTACCTTTTCTTTTCTAGAACACATTATTCCTACTCTGCTCTGTAAGTATGGCCTATAGTCCAAATGAATACAACACTGACTCATTTATCATCACACGGCATCTAAACTCCTTCCAAATTCCCGTGCATGTTTATGACCCACATCTCTGGGAGCCTCTGCCGTCAGAGGTCTCTCCTCTGTCCCGTACGTTTGAAACCTTTATCTGGGGCCTTCCGCTGAGCAGAGCTTTCTCTCCCTTTATATTCAGCTTAGCTCAAATCTACCTCCTACACAAAACCTTTCTAACTACACAACCCTCGCTAATATCCTTCTCCTCCGCTCTCACAGAATGTGATGTGTGTAAATGCTTTCTTGGCATTTCCTTTTCTACTAATAAATTTGAGCATCTTTTAAAATGGTTATTGGCTATTATATCTGCTCTTCTGTGAATTGTCCATTCACCCTCTTTTGCTCATTTTTCTACTGGGCTGTTAGTCTTTCTCTTTTCAATATGAAAGAACTTTTGTATATTCTGGATGTTAAAATGTTCTCACCATATGCATTACAAATATTTTTCCAAATACCTGAAGACCACTGTTCTCCTTTTTATATTTTAAAAAGATATTCTCAGACACTTCCTTCTCCATATAAACTCTAACTTATTTAATTGACTCAAATATTTAATTTTATTTAAAATTTTTTAAAGCCTGTTTGGATTCTAATGGAATTGCAAAGAATTTTTTAAATTAATTTTGGAAGAATCAACATTTTTATGAGGTTGAGTATTGAGATTCCTAAGCCAAGAGCATAGAAGCATTTGTTCAGATATTATTTTATGTTCTTCAGTGAGATTTTATAGTTTTCCTCATTTACATCCCTCCATTTTGAAATGTAATTCAATTAAGACTTTTGCAACTTGAGGAATGGATATTTTCAAAGCTGAAAACCCTATAAATGCATAAAAATTACTGTTTGATATCATTATTATTGACTTTGCAAATGTTATCTTTTTCCATTGAAAGAGTTTTTAATTTTTATACAGTCAAGTATGTCAAACTATTCTTTTATAGTTTCTGGATCTCCGGTTTTGTTAAAGAACAACTGCTATCCCTATGTGGTATATACAGTGTTCCAGATTGTCTTTTAAGATTTTTAAATTATTTTATTATTTACATTCACATATTTAACCCATCTGGAATTCATTTTGTGTATGGTTTAAGACTCAGGTCCAATTGTATTTTTACCCTGATGGATGGCCAGTTATGTCAGCACCATTTATTAACTAATCCAACTTTTTCCCACTGACTTAAACCAACACTTTTATCATATATTAAATTCTTATACATATTGGAATCTATTTCAGGATTCCCTATGCTATCCTTCTGATTATTTTATCTCTTACTATACCAATCCCATATTGATTTAATTTCAGTGGTTTTATATTATGTTATGGTAACTCGTACCTTAAGTTCTCCTTCACTCGTCTTCACTTTCATACTTTTAAAGGCTATTCTCAGGCATTTCCTTTCCATTCAAACTCTAAGATCATTTACTCACACGTTAAAAAAAAACTCTACTGGATTCTAATTGAAATTGCATGACATTTATATATTAATTTTGGGAGAACTGAAATTTTTATCTATTGAGACTTTCAGCCAAAAACATGGCATGTCTTTTTCAGATCTTTTTATCTTCTTCAAGAAAATTTCAAAGTTTTCTTCATTTACATCACCTCTTTTTTATTTTGTGATTAAACTAAAGCATTTAAAATTGAGAAAATTGACATTTTTATTACTAAGGTAAAAATTGTGTATGTGTGTGTGTATAGATAGATAGAAATCTAATTATTGATCCAATCTAATCTAATTGATATGACTATTGCTGAATTCTAGAAATCCTAGGAAATGTGACAACATGGCTAAACCCACTGAAAAAGGTTAGGATTTGAGCCATGAGAAAAGAAAACTTTGTTTTGTGCTTAAAATTGAACTTATTTTATCTGTTACTGAAATTTATAATTATTGCAATCCTATATGAAATGGTTTCAGAAACATTATCTCTGCATATTCTTGCAATTAAAGATATTATCTAAAATGAAATATTTTCCTGTGCTGCTAGAAACAAAATCTCTGAATAAAATCATTGTGGAATCATTGCTAGAGTCTTACCTGACTAGAAAGTTTAGACGCTTCCACAGCATGTTCAAAATCTGGTCTTCCAATTACAGCAGGCTCCTTATTCATTACTCCTTGCCCTTTCTTATAGTCTGCCTAAAATGAATAAATAACACAATGTTAAATACTTCTACTATCCAATGAAGAATTACATTGACATTAGCCAAAATAAAATATAATAGACCCTCAGTCCATAAAAAATATTCCTTATAATTCGCCAAATACTAAAATGCTGACTGCTAAAGCAGGAATTGATTTAATAATGTGATTATTTAAATAAACTCAACTTTTTTGTAGTAAAATAATTACTAATTTGAGTCTATGTACCCAGTCATCATCATCATTGTGTTTACATATAAACACTGAAAAAACAATAGGAGAAATTTCTGGATAATTGAGACTGCATTCTGTATACAGATGGCTTTAAGGCTTTGTTTAGTCTTAGGAACTGAACTAACCCAGTTTGGTTAACATGCAGTTGAATTTAGTAAACAGTTATTGATTTTTAAGGTGAGTACAGCTATGTTATTCAAATATTGGATTCAAGTTAAGTTATCATTTTAATCAGGGTTTCAGGCATGTTTAAGTAAAATGATATTAACCAAGGAGGATGTCTTAGAGAAGACAAGAAACAGCCATGAGGTGAGGAAATGTACAAGGATAAATGTTGGCAGAAGAGAATCTGCATAATTAACAGCAACAAGATGGGAACGAGGCCAAGTGAAGTTCTTTGGCTCGGGGTAAAATGAGAGATAATATGGGACCAAGATGACTGACAACCTTGACTTTCAGGCTGAGACATTTGAACCTTATCTTGTACCCACATAGTACTTATTTCTCTAACAGTATAACACTAGCCATAGTCAAGTCGACTTTGGACAGTTTCTACATATACCTGAATAATTTAAATAGTCAAATGAATAATCCAGATAAGAAAACTGAGACGTCATTAATTTAGATTGATTCCTTTCATTCATTGAATTAACAATCCAACTACCAAAGTCACGCTTTGTCTTCTGCAAAAATAAGAAATCATTTCTGCTCAAGATAAGAAAGAGAGATTACATTGCTTATGATCTTGGAGATCTGCATTGCCATCTTGATGTCTGGTCTGTCGAGCCCCGCACTATACATGTGGCTGTCCTGCATATCTTTTCTATAAGAAATCTGATCAAAGAGATAGTTTTGATTGAAAAAAAAGAAATTAGTAATTTCATATAGCTACTAGCCTTAATGTCCATACCATTATTTATCCTTGCCATAATCATGTAGAGAGCCCACTGATCATAAGTTTTTTTTAATGCACAACATTTATTTGGATAGATATATTCTCTTTTTACTATACCTATGCCTCAATAACATTATTGCATAGGAACTGAATTGATACAACATAAGGAATATGAGACCAAGACCTCAGCACAAAACCAATCTTACAGGATTTTACATATACCACCCTCATAAGCACACTGTTGTGTGTAGGTGTGTGTATGTATATTCACAAACAGAATATCCTCATCAGGGGCTTTAACTTGCCCACAGCACAGTCTCAACCCCTAGTGGACACAGGATGAGCTCCAGCATACAAATAGAGAAAAATCACTTCCAGAGGGAAGGGTGTGTGAGCTCAGAAACTCTCTTAGCTTTCACCCTCCCAGCCACACCCTTCTCTCCCTTTACTGACCCCTGTCTGGGAGGCCTAGTCATGGGTACTGATAGTTTTATTATCTAGTAAATAGCACTGCAACAACGTGATCCTCCCAAAATAAAAGCAATGACATTAAGGAATACTCTTCCTCTGAATGCATGTTAGACACAATCAAACCAAAGTGTGGAAAATAGAGATTTAAAGATATATATATATATTTGGGGTCCACCCCATCCCTCTTTTATAGAATTTCAGTAAATGAGGCCCAAGAATCTGTATTTTGTTGAATTCCCCAGTTGACTGTGATGAATCAGTGTTGTAGATAATATCAATTGTATCTTGTTATTTTCCTTTCAACCTTGCAGAATCAGAAAACATTTGTACTTTCTTAGGTCTTTCAAATATGTATATAGATATAGTCAAATGTACTTTAGATGACAGTGGTCATTTAGATTAACTCAACTGACAAATGGGAGGAGATGGAAGCAAATTGGTATAATGTCCAACAGTCAACGTCTCATCGTCTGTCCACTTCTCTATTTCTTGAGAGCATGAGCTGAAGGAATATTTAGCTATTTGCTAGATGCAATTCTATTTGGCAATATCACCAAGGCTGGTCAATTTGTCCACGACATGATATCTATTAAAGCTATAATGCAAAGGGTACAGTAATGGTCTTTTTTAAAACCCATCTTCACATTTTTCAAGGCATAGAAATGTAGAGCACAGAAATGTACAACTGAACACCTATACAAAATGCACAATTAATTACATTTTGTACAAAACAAGTATTTCTAGTGTTGCCCCCAAAGTTTCTACACTAGCATCATCTGGGGTACTTATTTAAAATTTAGATTTCTGAGGTCCCTCCCCAACCCTCTGTAACAGAATTTCAGTAAATGAGGCCCAAGCATCTTCATTTTAGTGAATTCCCCAGTTGACTGCTATGAATAAGTGTTTTAGATAATATCAGTTGTATCTTGTTATTTTCCTTTCAAGTTTGCAGAGTTAAAAAACATCTGTACTTTCTTACTTTCAAAAATAATATCAAAGGTAAGAAATGATAACCCATTAATACTTCTATAGGCTCTCTATACATTATATTATTCTATTTCAATAAAACATTTATATACATTTCTATTTATTCTTTTAAGAGCTTGTATGTGCCTCACCACCAAGATTTTTTTTTTTCTGGTGAGGGAGACTGGCCCTGAGCTAACATCTGTTGCCAATCTTCCTCTTTTTGCTTGAGGAAGATTGGCCCTAAGCTAACATTTGTGCCAGTCTTTCCTCTATTTTGTACGTGGGTCACTGCCATAGCATGGCTTGATGAGTGGTGTGGGTCTGCATCCAGGATCCAAACCTGCGAACCTGGGCTGCCGAAGCAGAGCACGTGAACTTAACCACTACGTCACCGGGCCAGCCTCCACCAAGACTATTTTTTAAAGTATGCTTATAATTGTAAATCAGTCTGGCAAGTGAACACAGCTTAAATACAATTAGCATAAGTTCAGCAAGAACATCTGTTTTCTTCAATATTTCTATTTTCATAGGCTTTACCTTAACAAGTAATTTTAGGTAGGTTTTGCACACACAGGTAGCAAAAAATACCATAAAAATAAGATGAAAACTGAGTTATTTTGTTGGGTGAATTTTATATCATTAGGGACTTAAAATAAGCCAATTTCATTGGTTTCAAAAAGCAACACACTCATCCACAAACGATGGCCAATCAACCTCAGCCTACACGGAGTTAAACACAAGCTGTGTAAACAAAAACCAACTCTCAGGTGAAAACAAACCCAAATTATCACCCCCCTACAAGACTGTTTCTAAGTTACTACATTCATATGAAAACCATAGGGGGGAAATGTCTTTTTGTTTAGAAAAGAATGAGGGTAAAAATGGAAACCCACACTTTCTGAAAAGAGCTGCAACCTTTCAGAAATCTAGGCTTTACATGGGTTACCTAATTATATGCTGTTCAGCCTAATGACTGTGTGAAGAGAGGTGAACAGCACAAAGGCGGCAGGAGCGGGACTCTGAATAGGGCCCCATCATCCATGTAAATTGCAAATTAGAGGCCGGCATATGCAACTCAAAACAAATATTAAGATTGACATGAGCTGCCAATTCAAACAAGCAGACACCACAGAGCCACACGGGAGAAAAACACTGGGAGCGTGGTCACTAGTCAGATCTTCCAGAATATCACCGCTCGGGAATATTCCACAGGGACGGGGGCTTACGCTGAGGGGCACTGAAATTTTCACTATCTGCAGGGATGTCTGATGGTAGGTGGTATGGCAACGTGGTTGCCTGAGTGGACTATTCATCTTCCTCCACCTCACCTGTTACTTAGCTCTGAGGGAAGCTCAGCTGACATTTCTATGTATTTGCTCCATTCTGCAGCCCATCGGGACCAAGGAAGAATAAAAATGTTACGCAGCAGGAGAGGTTTGTCAGCAGAAGATTAAAGACTATATATACACTTTTTTCTATTTTCTGAATAAATTCAAACCCTAAATGCTAACTGTAAGATTTATATCCATTAAACCAAGTTCCCTTTACAACTCTCCTATTTCAATTTTTTTCTAAATTTTCAACTATTTATTCTCACTTATGAGAGAATAGAATTATTAGAATGATAATTATTGTAATAATTAATATTAGAATAATTATCATTATCATAATTAATATTAGAATAATTATTAGAATAATTCTAGTAAGTTCCACAAAGGAAACAAATAGAATTTTAATGGGCATTGCACTAAACCTACAAAATGATTTAGGGAAAAATGATATCTCAACAATATTTCAGTCTATTCCAGGAGAAGAAGGTGTATTTCTCCAATTCTTTAAATCTTTTATTATACCTTTCAATGAAGTTTCATCATTTTCTTCTATAGGTCCTGGATGGGGCAATATAACAATTATCATATGATTATCATTTTTCTACAGTTATCTTGCACCCAAGACAAACAGCTTTATCTTTTTAATGGTATATAACAGCACATAATCTTATCTACAAAGAATGATTGTGGTTTCTTTCTCAGGAACACCCAAAATTATTACTTTACCAGGTTTGATGTCTTCTTCCTGTCTTTTTTCCAATGAATTTATTTCCTTGCCCTTTTCTGCATATCTGGGTCATTTTCCTAAATTACTCCTTTGTAGTGGACATGTGTTAATTTTTTTTTATCTGTCTAGCATTTTTTATTTGGAAACTGCCTCTCTCTCACTCTTGTGACTTGGTGAGGCTCTCAAATGCAGCCTATCTTCCTGGTGACAGGAGTGGCCACACAACAGGCTGTCCAATCAGATACCCCATCCCTTTGGAAACCGTGATTAACAAGAGGGCAGGCACATAACCCAAGTAGGGCCAGAGTCATCTGAAGGATCTGAGGCTGGGGGAGAAAGAGCTGCTGTACTTTCCTCTGGGATCAACTGCTGTGAGGATGATTTAATTTTGGAAACATCAGCTATCATTCTGAGACCACCTAGACAGGGTCTGTCTGCAAGAGAAGTCCTATGGAAACAAGCAGGGCCAAAGAGATGGGGAGAGAGGAAGAGTCCCGGTGACACTATGGAGCCTCTAGATCCAGCTACACCTGAAGGTAGTTTGAACTTCCCAAGTAGGCAAAGCAATAAATTCTCATTTTTTTACTTGAGCTAATGTGAGATGGATTTCTGTCACTAAATCTAGAAATTCCTGACTAACACTTTCTCCATTTCACATGTTTTTCTGCAGTGTCAAATCTGTTCTTTACTGCCTCCAACAAAGATTTTAATTCCACCAAATCTGTCATTGAATTTCTTCCTTATCTCACCATGTTCAACTTTGCCCCTCAGTTTGTATTTTTATCTCGTTTTATTATCTTGTAATCTCAGCTTTTTCTTTCCTTATGTCTTTCCTTATATCCTCTTCTGTTTCATAAGGCCACATCTTTTGCATGTTTTTTACATTCGTGCAGAGTGTCCAGTGTGCCAGGCACTGTTCTGAACACTTTACATGAGTTAATTTATTCAATCCTCACCGCACCCCTGTTGGGCTGAATTGTCTGTACTAAACCGGGCTCTATCAACACTCCCTCCCAAGGCTGGAACCAGTTATCCAGAATCCCCTTGCTGTATCATTCTGGGTTAGACTTGGCCAATAAGAGTCTCATATTAGATTTTGAAAATGACACTGAAATGGATGCCTTTATTCTCCATGTACAGCCAGACACATACATGTCAGACAAAGGATTCCCAGGGACTCTGCAGCAAGCTTTTCATATCCAGACAACAGTGACTTGAGACTCCTCAGTAGTTGAATTAATAAACCAGAGAGAAGCAAAACCTCCACCAAGACTGTCTTCACAGTGAAATTCAAGCACTTGGAGCTGCGAAAGTGAGAGCTGAGGGATGGCAGCCAGGATGAAAAGCCACAGAGACACACCTGCGGGGGCTGAGGGCAGAGCCAGCAGACAGACTTCAAGAAATCAAATCCAATTGGCCCAGAACCATTCATTCCCTTTGCTGCTCTGGTGAAGGTTAACGTGATTCTTGGCGAGAAGAAACTAGATGGGATATATATCTTTTAAGTTTGTGGAGCAGAAGTGAGCAGCGTAGCCTGTATTTAGTTATAATCTGGAAACATCAGTTGAGTCCTTCTCAAGAAATCATTTTCTCATTATCATAAACTTTCACACTAAGAAGCCCTCCAAGTATCATCAAATAGGCACATGGACTGGAAATTCTATCTCAGTGAGGCTTCTTTCTGTCTGGGCATGCTGTACGTAAAAAAACTACGACATTATTAAATTGTAATATTTTTAGAATTGAATGTAAACCTTTTAAATATAAGTAAAGGCAGGATCTGCTATCTATCAGAAGACAGAAAAGTTTTCCATCTTCTAAAAGATGGAGGAAAACATGAAGCTGTGTCTAGAACAGTTGATCATTATTATTACGGTCCTTGTTTATACAGCATTTTATAGTTGATAAAAGGTTTCTTATTCATGATTTAATTTTATCACCACCACAATCTTGTGAAGCAGGCCGAATAAGTATTACTAACTATTCTGTCTTAGAGATGAGTGAAATACTAATATATCAAATTTAATACTAAATCCTAAAGCACTGTTATTGTAAGTCGCTTCGGGGAACCACAGTTATAAATGTTTTTCTAGTATCATGTTACTGATTTATTTTTAAGCTTTTTTACTTTCTGATGAAACAGAAATTCTGTCTACTGATAAGTTTTTATTAATGTTAAGAAAGTACATATATCATTTTTGAAAAGAACATTAAGTCTCTGGCATCCCCTGCTGAATACTTCTTTCTAATACACACTGAATTGATTACCAATATGGCATTTTGGAAAAGTTTACCATTCCAATTTCATCACAAGTCTATACAGGCCACATTACTTATAAAACTTAAAATGGCAGCTTAAAATTTGTTTGACTTATTTCAGAACCATTGGACTTCATGTCTAATAAGATTGATGAGAACTCAAAATATTCCTGGGGTTTTCATTACAAACCCATCTTTAGGGGAAAGTAACAAGACAGAGTATCTCCCATTTCCCTAATTACATTAGAAAAATATGGCAGGGGTACATCCCTTAAGATACAGGAGGATCTAGATTGGCTGTTTTCAATCATATTTTGATTATAGTATCAACAAGATAGGGAGTTATATGGCTTCAGGAAACTTTTGAATATGCTCTTCTGAACTAAATGCTTCTTAATATAAATTTCATATTGATTTGGCCTTTTTATAAATCTAACCTCTTTTAATTGTTTTGAATTAACTATGAAATCACCCTAAACTCTTAAATTACCCTTTAAAACTGGAGGAGGACCAAATAGGACTAATATTTTATGGAGTGGCTCTTCCTCAGATCCCTTCACATATCTTATCTTATTTAACACTTGTGAGAGCCCTATGAGGTAAATATTGTTTTTATGGATGAGAAAACACGAGATTTAGAGATATTAAATAACTTGCCCAAGGTCATCCAGACTACACATGGCAAAGAAAGCATTTTAATCCCGGTCTGACTTCAAATTTCTTTTCTATTATATGCCACAGTAGAGGATATTCTGAGAAAGAACTTTTTTTCACTGTTTTGTGATCATTGAATGTTGGGGTGACAGAAGAGACTACTGCCCTCAGAATACTCGTCCCCTTGGAACTCTCACTTATTCAGAGGTGAAAATTCAGTTGGCCAGTCACAAAAAACCCTCTCTCCCACCCTCTTCTGCTTATTCACATCTCTAAAGATATATGGAATAGAATGGTTCTGGAAAAAAAAGAATCACTCCCTTTGGCTCATTGATGAATATTCTAATAGAAGAGTTGAGTAGAAAGAAGGCAGAAACTGTAACTGCCCCAGTTTCTTGGTTCTCTAAAAGATATCAGAAAGCTGATTTGATTTTGGTGGAAACATAAAAAGGTAAGCAAAGATGCTGACTTGCACTGCTTCTAGGTAAATCAGATGTACACGTGATGACACATTTTATTTTAACTTAAATTAAGTCATTTCTAGGTATAGTGCAAAGTGACATTCCACATTACGAAAGGGTAATTCTATTAGTAAATTCTCTGCAAATGAGTCTCACTGGACTGAAGTTTATGGAAAAAAGGGTTTTGTCTTTGATGGAGATGCTGTACCCTCACCTGCTGAACTAAGAGATGGATTTTCTTTCCTTGTGGCTTTCAAGACCTACGTTTAAATTTCATATTGTAGGGACAACAAATGTATTATTCTAAGTTCCCTGACTCCAGAGGAACAGCAACTACTTCACAGGTAGAATACAAATATCATTCTCACTTTAAATCTGAGTAAATAGTCTTAAACACTTTCTAAATCCTATTATATGTACAAACTTTGCATGTAAAGGTTGAACCGAGAAGGCAGAGGAGTGTAAGTAAATACATCCTTCTCCCATAAGTACACAGTATTCAACGGAGGAGAAAAGGGCTTTATACTTTATTCCCTCAATCCCTCAGTCACAGACCTTTTAAAAGAAAGGCAGAGTTAAAATAATAACCCCAGTTCTATGATAAGAAACTTCCGTATTTGAATTTCATTGAATTATAGAGTTAGAAAGGACCTCCCAAGGATCCGTTGTTTGCCAGGCCCCTCCTCAGACCACCACCACCATCTTCTGCAGTGCACTGAATCTGTTGATCTGAATTCTGATGATAACCTATCTTGCGTCTCATTTTTAAAATTTCACTTAAAATCTTGACCAATATCCAGTGACCTTTAAGAGGGAGGCAGTGGGGCATAATAGAACAACTGGACTTGAGAGTTTGATTCTTCAGTCTCATTTTCCTTATCTACAAAATAGGAATCAGTATGGGGATTTTGTGAGAACTGGAAATGATCAAAGTATTGGCACAGTTCCTGGTTCCTGGTACACGGCAGTGCTCGCTAAGTGGTGGTTATTATGATTATTATAGTCATTCTGTAAGCAAACTGTTCTTATAAAAAGCATCCCCTTAAAATGACCTTGCTAGTAATTACAGACATGTAGCTTCTTCATCCCTTATCTAAGATTGAGATCTAAGGTTTAAGATTAACCATCTTAGAAAAGTGCTTTGGTATTGGCAAATGTTTATACATTTGGATTAAAACGTAAAACCTCACTTAGATTTTACTAAGCATTGACCTATTGCAATTTAATATCAGATAACTGTTGCCATCCTGCAAAGAGAGACACTGAACAGCTGGGGCTCTGGGGGCACAGAGTCAGCAAAGCATCATCAGTAAGACAACTAAGTCAAGGGACAGACCCTGTGTGAGATGACAGGGAGGTTTCAGGTACTTTTCAAAGAAAGGAAGTTTCTTGACCTAACTGGGACAGACATTTTATCTTAACTGATTCTAACCCATAAAGAACTTGACAATCAGTTTCCATATTCCTTCTAGAGAGCAGAGAATTCATGATGGGGAGATAAATAAGCTCTCCCTGACATTTCAGGAAGAAATGATTCTTCTAGGCTACCAGGATAGTGGTGTTAACTGAGCAAACATGTGAAAGCTTTGATGTACCTGCTAACTTATAACTAAAGAAGAAATTCGTTTTCTACAGGCTCACTTCCTCCCACTTGGCTTCTGCTTCTAAACCAGCCATTAGGGATCCATTGCTTTCCTATTCCCCATGAGTCTTAAGTTTGACACTTTGTCCTGCACAAGCATTTCAAAAGAAAGTGTAGCGGGGTACAATCTCGCTAGTGTTTGTGAATGATTCTTCCCTGGGCCATTGATTTCCAATGCTCTTTCAACCGCTTCTTCTGCAATTCTAGACTGAAAATCACGGGCTCTTCACGATCAAGTCAGGGAAGCTCTAGGAAATGCTAATAACCCAATAGGTCCAAAGGATCCATATGTGTCTTGCTCAAAGCAGAATTTCGAATGTCTGCAAGTGCCTGACATTTCAAAGGCATTCCACAAGGTTCTAGTGACTGTTGATAGAATAGTTCAGATGTACTTCTGACTGAACACTGACAGATAAAAATCAAAGAAATTCTAAAGTCCTTTTTGAACAGGAGAGGTGTAATATTTAAATTTCAACAAGATATCCATTAGCCTTGATGTGGGTTAACCACAATTTTCCAGAAAATCATGAGGAATGGCTTCCTTACATTACTCTGGTGTTTATTGACCTCCATGGCATGTTTGACCTCAGGGGGCTCCTTCATATGGGCATAATCTGAGATTCCTTTGGCAGCATCATGTTTCTGCTTGTAGGCAATCTTAAAAAAAACACACACACAAATTATTGTTAGTTTCATTTAGAGGTGTATTAAATTCTTACCCACTAAATTTCAGTGTTTCGCTAGGATTTTATATATTTGAATATCACCACCGATGCTCGAATTTGCTTACGCCTCTAGAAGAAAATAATACACACAATGCTTAAACGTTAGTGCTTCAATTTAGACTCCTAATTCTAGCTCTTTGTTGTTTGTTTCAAAAGTCCTTCACCACACGCTGAAATCACTTCTGGTATTCATTTAGCCTAAATCTCAGCTACAGTTTTGGGAAATCTTCCACATCCACGAGCTTTTAGGGTCATAAATGTTCAAGGTTTACATCTTGGGAGAGCAACTGATAAAGTGAGGGAAATGACTGGATATTTAAAAGACAATTGTTCATTTTTTAATTAGTTATGATTTTAGGTAGGCACAGCTATAATATAAACCTGATTAAATGCCCTAACATTTTGAAGAAAATATAACATGCAGGCAAAATTCTCAAATATGTCAAGCCCTGTCCTCTGTTAGAGAAATGAGCATCATACCAATGCCATCCATTACCACCGTGTTTAATTTGTTCCATACTGAGATGGAGAGAAGGCAGTAGAATGAGTACCTCAGAAGTGGAAGCAACCAAACTCAATAATAGAGCTAGAATTTAAATAAGATCCAGAGCCAGCAAACAAATTATCCTCTTACTCTCAGTCTATGCCATTATCCTATTTACTCCCTTCACAATTTTTGGACAATTATTTATTTTCTGTCTGCCTTTACTAGAACATAACTCTAGTTCACTGAGTGTTTGGAACTCAGAATAGTGCCCAGCATAAAGTAAGCAGCAATAAATATTTGCTCAATGAGTGAACAAATAAATGACTGAATAACTGAATGAATGAGAATAAAAAAGGAATCAATGAATGAATGATTTTTAAATTAATTTCAAATATATACTAAAAGTTTAATAACAATAAGATATTAAATGGAGTTAGAATTACTTGGCACAAGAGAATAAAAGCAACTTAAAAACAAAAACTAAAATGGTGTTCACCAAGAACAAAATAAGATCTAATTTTCAACGACAAAGAATACAGTTAAACTTAAGGAAAACTTTTTACCAATATGAGCTCCTAGAAAGCTATGTCTGTATCTTAGACATCTTTTAATATCCTGTGCCTATCATAGTGAATGACACAGAGTAGAAATGCAATAAATGTTTAGTGAATAAATGAATAAATGAGTTTATTCAACATTCTCATGAACTTGAATTCCTCATAGGCTTTAATAAACAGAATTAACCACCATGGGAGTGCAAACTGGTACAGCCACTATGGAAAACAGCATGGAGATTCCTCAAAAAATTAAGGATAGAACTACCATATGATCCAGCTATTCCACTGCTGGGTATTTATCCAAAGAACTTGAAAACACCAATGCGTAAAGACACATGCACCCCTGTGTTCATTGCAGCACTAGTCACAACAGCTAAGACTTGGAAGCAACCTAAGTGCCCATCAAGGGATGAATGGATAAAGAAGATGTGGTATATATACACGATGGAATACTACTCAGCCATAAGAAACGATGAAATCCAGCCATTTGTGACAACATGGATGGACACTGAGGGTATCATGCAAAGTGAAATAAGTCAGAGGGAGAAGGTCAAATACCGTATGATTTCCCTCATTAAGTAGTAGATAATAACAACAACAAACAAACACATAGAGACAGAGATTGGATTGGTGGTTACCAGAGGAGAAGGGGGGAGGGAGGAGGGCGAAAGGGATAATTTGGCACAAGTGTGTGGTGATGGGTTGCAGTTAGTATTTGGGTGGTGAACATGATGTAATCTATGCAGAAATAGAAATATAATGATGTACACCTGAAATTTATACAATGTTATAAACCAATGTTACTGGAATAAACAAAAAATTAAAAAAAAAAGAATTAACCACCATTTAACTTAGATAATATACTTGTTTAAAGGATTAAAGTGATAATTACAAAACTAATTTTTAAAAATCAAATCTTAGCATTAAAAAAAAAAGCCATCTAGTACAACTATCAATGTTTAAATCCCTTCTCTGGCTCCCCCACCGAGTTTTTCTTGAAAACTTGTACTGAAAAAGAACTCAACCTGGGACATCAGTCTCTAAATTTCGAAAGCTCTAATACAAAGTTCCTCCCTTAATGAAACCCAGTCTGTCTCCCCATAGGTGTATTGATCTCACCATGAGAGAAGAGTCTAGTTCACAAGACAGAACTTCAAACACGGAACACAGCTGTCAATGACTTCCATTCCTCCAGACTGTCTGCACAGATTAAGGCGCTGAACCCCTGTACACCCTACATGCTCTCCTCAGAGCGAATTCCAATTTATCCATCTCTTTCTTAAGATGCCCACAATGTCTCAGATATGATCTGACCTATCCTAATTAGCATTGTTCAATTTAACCCAGGTTATCATCTCTCATATGCTATATGCTATTAATGCATCCATAGACCACATTTTCCTTTTGATGGCTGTGTTGAGATTTCTTTCAACTACATAATACCCTTAAATCTTGTTCAGTCCTGCTCAGCCCTGTTCCCATGTCCAATCCTGTGTATCTGGTTGAGTATGAGGACTCACATGCAGCACCTCATGTTATGCCAGGGATAATTCATCTTGTTTGAGTCTGTCCATCGATTTAATCCATCAGGATATTTAATTCTGATTAATATATCTTTAAATTTCACCAATTAATTATGTTAAACAAGAAACCCATTAAGAATTTCCATTCAGGTTGACAAAGTCCGTTATCTCAGTTACATTACATTCTATACTATAACTTTGGGGGGAGGTTAGGAGGAGTTTCAATGGGTGGCCAAGTCTATTAAGCCAAGAAAAAACTTCTATGAGAGTTGTTCCTTCTTCTTAAATAAAAAGAGCTAGCATATGCCTATTTCCTTTTTGCTGGATGCCTGGTTTATTTTGCATTTTAGACTGACTGTCATACTTGTGATTTTACAAATGTAACCAACGCAGCTGAACACTTTACGGGTTATAAAAACGGTGAGTCATCAAAAACAATTTTAAAAAGCACTCTTTCTTAAAAAGTCTATGTAATTTTCTACTTGCTGCATTAAAATAGTCATTTCATTTATAGCTGCTACTAAGTACCACTTTAGAATTAAGATTACATCAAATTGGAGGCAGCTGAACTTTAATTTATCATATTAATTTTCATCCTTAAAATAGCTAATGGAAAATTATGTCAAGCTAATAAATTTTCTGATAAATTTGATTTCTTAGGATTTGTCACTATTCTGTGGCATTTTCCTAGATTAATACTGTTTTCTTCATACCTTGAGAATTAAGGTTGCTATGGTACTGGACACCTAACTAGTGGAGGACACTTGCAATAGTCTCATATACTTTATATATAAATATGCTTATATAAGTAACATATACATTTATCTTATATATTTGATCTTGTATATTTTTATATCTCATATATACATATATAAGATGTACATATATTTCTAACTTACAGTATATTTTACAACTGCTATATAGGTAAATGTACTTTTAATCTCATAGCATAGACACCTCTGAAGCTCCTGAAACAGGCCACTGTGGCCACTACAGATTAAAACACAGGCCGTCATAAATCTCCTTGGTTCAGATGCCTGCGTACCCTGTATCACTTCTGTGATAAGGGACTATTTAACCTCTGCCTGAAACAGCCCTGGTGAGAAGGATCCAACCTTAGTGGCAAAACTTCCAGAAGCTTTCTTTGTGATCTTTGTTTATAAATTTTTAATGGGAATATCTAATAAAATGGCCTCCTAAAATCTCAACATCTCTGTCTCTTTTTTTAAAGGCATTTCTTCTGATCAGTCATTTTCTATAAGGAATATTAACCTTGCTAATTTCATCTTATCACTCTAGGTTGAACGTAAGCATCTGAGAACGTATGCAAACTGATTCTAAGATAATAATTTGTTCCAATGTCAAAAGTTTAGGAGATTTTTCATTAGAACTCAGAAGGCCATTAAATTTCCAAATTTGTCTAATACTCTAATTTAGGTTACCACAAATCCGATACAATGTGGACACAGTAAAGGGTTCGTCCTTTCATTATCACAGACACTGTCAAATAGTTCTACTTTCTTGCCTATCTTATTACCAGGTAAGCTCTGAGAATAGCAATTTTTTTTTTTTTTTTTTTTTGCTGAGGAAGATTCGCCCTGAGCGAACATCTGTTGCCAATCTCCCTCTTTGTGCTTGAGGAAGATTCACCCTGAGCTAACATCTGTACCAGTCTTCCTCTATTTTGTACGTGGGTCGCCGCCACAGCATAGACACCGATGAGTGGTGTAGGTCTGCGCCCGGGATCTGAACTCAGGCCGCCAAAGCAGAGGGCACCGAACTTAACGACTAGGCCACGGGGCCAGCCCCTGAGAATTGCAATTTTAACTATAATAAAATTGATTTATGTAAATCTAAAGGAATGTTATTATAACTACATAAATCTTTGAAATAGCTACCTTATTCAGAATCCAGGTTTTTCCTTTCTAACAAGTTCAATGACTAGTTACACAGGGCAGCACTGCTCCTTGAGAGCACATCCATATCTTTCCAGGGTGCATATTCTACTGTGAGATAATACATGGTAACATTGTAAGTAATAACTTATTCTGGAAAAACAAAGGTAGATTCCAAAATATACAATATGGATTATTTTTCATGTTAAGTTTTATTTTGCACATATTTGTGAACTATAGACCTGTTTACCCCACAAAAATGTGGGAAAAGTTGTACATTTCCAAAGCAAGGAGGATGCAAATATCTGAAAATGTTACCTTCCCAAGTAAATATAAAAATAAGAATAGACTGTTTCTCTTCTTTCTTTATTTCATAATTGTTGCTTGTCACATATCAAGTGTTGTGTTGTAATTATTTGCTTTATAAAGTAGTCCATATCATCAGCAAGTGGCTAGGTGACCAGATGTTGGCAGGGGAAAAAAGGGCATATTAATTATGGTCAGCCAGGCAGAATCCTGACATCATATATTTTTAGCCTCATGTTGCACAACTGAGATTAGCTTACTGCCAAGTTGGGTACACAGTGGACCTTTAAATTTGTGATAATGAAGTACTTAAAGATGTTCTGCAAAGGATAACTATATTCAGTATTTTTCAAGAGTAATCTATTTTCAGGCTATTTTAAAATTATGTAGGTATCCTCTACTTAAAAGTAAAAAGATTCTGGAGAAATAAGTAACTTGTTTAATAAGAAAAAGAAGGGCAGAAACGGTAAGAAAGAGGTGGTACAGTGTGGTTAAGAACCCAGACTCTGGAGCCTGTCTATCCACATTCACATGCTGGCTCTGCCATTTATTGGCTGTGTGACCTTGGACAAGTTACTTAACCTCTCTGTGCTTTGGTTTTCACACCTCCAAAATGAGGATACTTCATGGAGCTGTGAGGATTAAATGATATAAATATATGTAAAATGCATAGAACAGTATCTGACACATAGTAAGCATTTCTATGTGTTGATTATCATTATTAACCTAAAATGTAGCATGAAAAATATAAACTACATAAAAAGAAATATATCCTTAGAAAATCAACAAATTGAACAAAAATCCATTTTACAAATATTTTTTAAGATTTTTATTCAATTTCTTTAAATTAAAAAAGAACAGTTCATATTACAAGTATTTATAGAGGACTCCCTGTGTGGCAGGGACTGTTCTAAGCACGGAGGTAGGGCAGGCGACAAGACAGATGAGGTCTCTGCTCTTTTAGGGAGCCCGGTAACAGATTAACAAAGTAACCAAAAAAATCAGATTGTGCTATGAGAAAACAAAAAAACAAGTTGAGTTAGAAAGAGGTGAAATATTCTATTTGGAATTTCTGTTTTAGAACTACAATAGACTAAATACATTAACAAGTCCTTACGTGTTGATGTACTATTAAGGGACAACTACTCCTAAACTCTTGTGGATTCAAAATGAGTTTACATGATGACAGTCCTTAAGTTCATCTGCAACTTGCAATCACTAAAATAGCCATTTCCACCTCATAGAGGCTCTTGTTGGTAGCCTGAGATATTCTAAGTGAAAACCCAATCCACGGAAAAGAAATCCAGGAACCTCTTGTCTCACTGATGGAGCACAGACTTGTGGATCCTGAATTTAACCATTAACTCTTTACGTGACTTTTTTTTTATTGAGGTATAATTAACATACAGTATTATATTAGTTTCAGGCATACAACATAGTGATTCAACGTTTGTATACATTGTGAAATGATCGCCACAGTAAGTGTAGTTACCATGTGTCACCTTACAAAGTTTATACAATATTATTGACTGTATTCCCCATGCTGTACTTTACATCCCCATGACTTCTTTATTTTACAACTGGAAGTTCGTACATCTTAACGTCCTTCACTTATTTCGCCTCTTCCTCTCTGGTAACCACCAATCTGTTCTCTGTGTCTATGAGTCTGGATTTTGTTTTGTTTGTTTGGTTTGGTTTGTTTTTTAGATTCCACATATAAGTGAAATCATATAATATTTGTCTTTCAATGTCTGGCTTATTTCACTTAGCATAATACCCTCAAATTCCCTCCATGTTGTCACAGACGGCAAGGTTTCATTCTTTTTTATGGCTGAGTAGTATTCCATTGTATATATACATACCACATCTTCTTTATCCCTTCATCCATCGATGGACACTTAGGTGGTTTAAACAATCTTTATGTGACTTTTAATAAGCTACTGGAATGTTCTCCACTTAGAGATCACATGTTAAATGGGAGACTAGCTTAATATTTGCTATAAGATTTTAATCGAAGTAAACTGTCTAAATGAGATTAAAATTTGCTCTGTTAATAGTGGTGAATGGGACTAGGAAAAACAGCATCATGTGACTAACATAAACTCGCACATCCTTTTCTGCAATTCCACAGTGATTACCGATAGCACATGAATCAGTTGCTTTCATCTTTCATTTAATATCTAAGATGAACGACTTTTTTAAATGCTACATAATTTATATTAGATTATATGTTTTATCTACATAATTATATAATAACTTAGGAACACCGCACCTTACTCTGAAGCTTCGTAACTTCTCCTGCAAAGACACTGTCAATTGTGGCTGGCATCTGCTTATAAAGAGAATTGGAAAGGTCCGCCTTAATGGTGCCCTTGTATTTCACCTAGGGGGAAAAAAGAAAATAAAAAAATAAATAAACATTCCTTTTTTTTTACTGTGAATATTGAAAGAGAATTTAAAAAAAAAAATCTTTCTTCAGAAACAGAATTAATTAAAAAATCTGAAGATCACTGAAATTGCAGATACTGGACCTGATGAATATATTTCTTTAGAGATAAATAAATCCAATTTACCATGGAGAAAGCATTAAATGAGGCACACAAGAAAATGATGACTATTTTTCTATTTAAACCCACGTACATTTCTCAAAGTGCTCCATCTGTATGTACTGACAATTTCATATGTTTGATCAGGGACGAAAAATCTAAGAACAATGAGACATTCCAGAAAAATACAAGTGGTTAAAATCTACTATCTAGAACCTGAATGCAAAGGATAGCATTCCTCTGTTCAAGTCTTGTTAACCTCCTACTACGATGGGTGGTAAGGGTGCTTTTTTGCTGTTTCTGCACCTTCCCACCATTCCGCACTGTCTCTAAGCCATCTTAATCATTACTCATCAAGAGAAACACTCATTCCCCATTTCCTCTTGGGAAAATCAGGTTCAAAGTAACACAACAGATTGCTCACTTCCATTTTTTTGTTCTGCACTTAACTCCTTCAGGAAAGAGAACCAATTAATAATTACGAATACCAAGAATGTCTCTGCAGAGGAGAAATAACAGCTCACACAAATAACAAAACTGTGTTTTTCCACACTCTGTCGACAAGTCCCTGATACTACTCCCTCTCGGAGCTAGATTTGAGTATTAATTAATTGAGCAAATATCCTGTGTAAGCCTCGTGTTCCCACAACTCTTTAAATTTTGGTACTTCATAAAAGAAAATTTACCAATTTTCCTCAAAATACTTTCATGTTAGCAGAAATAATCCTGAGACTATCATGTTGATCTTTTTCCAACACAACTTACAAAACACTAGAGGTCAGTCATTTACAACATTATTTTATTCATTCTGTCTTCAAGTTTATCTCTTCTGAGTGATATATTCACAGACTACAGCAATGCCTCATAACAGAAATCATTGTTAACATCGTACTTCTTAATGCAACACGAACTGTGGTTCTAAACGCTCTCAGAAAGAGACTGCATGATTTTTCAGCTGGAAAACGAATGTAGTGTATTTCTCACTCTGTGGTTTCAGAGTAGGCATCTCTGTTAAACGGATCCTACTCAAAAATAGTTTAAATTGATTTAAAATTATTTACTAAAGATACCACTTTTAATGGAATCAGGTGGTAAATTTTACTTATTTTCAACATGATATTCAATAATTTATATCTAATAAGTCTGTTAGGAAATAAAATAATGGAATTTCCAAAACAAACTATTTTGCCAGTACTTTTCACTTATTGAAAAAAAATCCCTTTTCAAGAGTAATTCTATATAAATAAGAAAGGGCTGGAATTAAAATATAGACATATCTAATAAAATATATCAACCATAGTAAAATATATCAATTTACAACAGTTAATTGACATAGTGCATATTACATAATTATATAGATATTACCAATATTCAGTGGTGCTTTCAAAAATATTATTCTCTAAATTTAATGCACAGACGTCTATCTACATAAATAGAAAAAGAAAATGCAAGCCATTTTGCAAGTTTTGATACCTTACCTCAGAAATATAAGCGCCAATATTTTTTACATGGTTTAGCATAGGGGTGTCAGTCACAAAGGTACACTTGTCCTTAGACTTTTTATACTCTTGTTTATAATGGATCTAAAAGAGAATATTTACGTAAGAAGAGAAAGAAGAAAAACAATTTTAATGCTCCTTTTTTGCACAAAAGAATTAACGTGACAAAGTCCGTTTAATACTCAAATGTGGAATGATGCTCAAAACAAGCCAGATCAAATAAACCGATATCCAGCACAGAATTGCAAAAGTAGTGGGCATATTACGGAAAGAGTATAAGCTAGGGTCACCAAGGACCGTGTGTGCTGACCCACGGTGACTGTGGGTCCTGCCCAGCTTGCTCAACATAATTATTAAACAGTCTCCATTTCCCTTCAACAAGTGTCCTGGTTTATTGTTCCTTTTAAGCCACTGACCTTAACAGTTAAGCCTATGGTCAGACAGAAATATAGCTGCCTACCTCTAGGTTTAAAACAAGTGGTCATCAGGACAGATGTAACCAATTAAGAACTAGAGGCGGAAATTAAACAAATGGAGATTACTATTAGCATCATACCTATACATGTTGGATTAGAGGAAGGGGCTTAAATTGTGGCCCCAATGGGCTTCCTGTTACTAATTAATTCCACTCAGACCAAATTTATCCAACTTACGAGCACCCATTGGCTTCGCCATCTTCCTCCTCTCCCCCAACAAGAGCAGAACCCACCCAGAAAGCTTGCCACATGGTGGAGATCATTCCAGAATGCCCCCTTGCTGTGGGTAGGCAGATGACCAAGACAAAGTCCAAAGAGGCTTAGCTGAGCATGCTTACTTCTTCTCTTGAACTCACTAGCAAAATGAGTCACTCCTTTCCCCTTGGGGAGATGCCAGAATTGTTACTGCGGGAGAAGACCCGTCTGGACACATGAACCAAAAGGAAGTCAGGAACTATGGAGAAGGACTTAAAATATAATCCCACTGTCACGCCAGTGGCCCCCAGTCTAAAAACTGGGGAGGCAAAACTTCTGACTAGTTGAGAGGATGAAGGTAATTTGCTAAAAGTTATATCACCCTGTAATAAAGCCAGGCTTATCTACCCAAGACTGTAAATACTTAGGCTGAAGAAAATGTCCCAGTTCAGATGATAAATTACATGGTCTCCCTAATTAAAACCTAAAAGTGAAGTTTAATTGTATATACTACCTGGTTCTTAAAGGACATGACTAATATTGATGTTACATGCTAACATCACATATTTTACCATTTGCAAACCCCATTAGAGGGGCAGTATTTGACCTAAGGTATAACCAGACACACAGTAAGTTATTTCTAAATACCATATTTCACTGCTGTGACTCTTAGATAGTAGGTGCCTACACATTAAACACTTGCTTTATTCATGAAATCAACATTAGAACATATTTATCTTATCTGAGCACTAAATTACTTTTTTCTTCTCAGAGATTAGCCATAATTTTAGGTCTCTGCAAATCACCTTCCTCAGTCACTAGTAATTAAACTGTTAATGGCAGTATGATAAATAGAGGGCTATTTTGATCATAAGGAGAAAAAAAAAGTATCTCCGTTATATAATTAAGTGTGAGAGAAAATAACTTATCATTAGGCTTAAGTCTGGCTCATTATTTGTATCTTTTGCCACCATCTTTTCCCTGTCACATTCACATTCTTCGCTGCAGTGGTATGCGCCATGACTACAGGCCTCCTGATAAGCTCTGACCTAAGCAGAATGTTCGGGACAGGAACACAGGATAAGGGTGAAGTATTTACTTCCTTTGCTATGCAGGCAAATAGTTCAGTCTTAAGTGTGGTCTCCACTCCTTTCCTCAGTCTTCAGTTAAAAGATACACACACACATGCACACGTATTATTTCCTTATTGCCACTCACACTGTATTTCTCCTGAATTTTATAATGTGACTGACAATAAGCAAATGATCTCAAGTTTTATATAAAGATTGCCACGCATTAGTAGCCTTCCTATGGCAGGATAACAGGAAAAGACAGATGAAAGGGAACTGCGCTGACGACTGACACAAAATCTTAGGTAAAATAAAAATCCCTCAGTAGACAGCCATTTCCTAATACAACCATGTATATTTCCCATCACAAGCACGGCCCCATCTATTGGACAGACTGCCTATCCAAACCAAACCCCTTCGTTCCTAATAACAGAAACCAAATGTATTTACGAGAGTAGCCAGGCCCTACCCCAGCCCCAGGGGACACATTGCTCTAAACCCAGGCACGATTTTCTCATTCCCCTGAGCTAGTGATTGGCCTGGACAGGCCACGGGCCCAGTTCTGGCCATGAGACACTTGTGGAAGTCTTCTCAGCAGTGTTACTGGCGTCTCTGGTATAAAGGAGAGACTTTGCTGGCACAGCCCTTTGACCTTTGCCCTTCCACCTTTTGCCTTCCCCACTCACTGGGATGCAGCAGCAATGATGTCATCATAAGGCAATAAGCCACCATACTAATGACGGCAGAGCAGAAGGAAAGGAGCCTGAGAGACTGCTAACATCCACTGAACCAAGACTGAACCCCCGACCTCCAGGCTTCATATGTGAAAAGAATAAATATCTATTTGTTAAGCTTCTGTGCTAGGATTTTCCTGTTACTTGCGCCCATCTGCACTCATAACCAATATACCGGCCAAGTTATTTTCTAATTGGAAAAAACAAGGGCAAAGTTGATGACTCAGTGATCATGAAGATACCCCAAATATTTACTTTCTGCTTTGACCTCATCCATTAATCCTGCCACGTCTCAACCACAATTAGAGTTAAATTAGTTCACTGGTGCTTCTCTCTTTGCCTGGCTTCTTTCACTTAGCATGAGATTAGCTAATGGCTAAAATGGGATGACAGATGTAGAAACGTGTGAGGATATTTCCTTTAACAAGCATTCTTAACCAAAAGTATCTAGAAAGTCTTTTCACAAATGAAGCCATATTGGCTAAATGCAGCAAACTCTGGAGGAAAGAACTGTGGTTCCATCCCTGCCTGTGAACTGGGGCACTCACAGCCAAGCTGCTCTCCCAGGTTTTCTAACACAGTTGGAGCTTTCTCTGAAGAGGTAACCACGGAATCTAATGTTTTCAGCACTGGAAGGATTTACTCACAACAAACAATGTTCATTTGCCCGGAAAATGTTCTTTCTGCTGCCAGGTAAATGAACACCCTAAAACAGTTTGAGCCAAAACACTGAGTCAGAGGCTTCCTGAAGATGTGGCCAAACTTGCTCTGCAGAGACTCGTGATGCCTAATTCACAAAAAACATACAAAAGATCCCCCTTTAAACCTAATATTTTTTATGACCACCTGACAAAAGGCTCTCAGATCTGTGATTCTGACTGCTCAATAGAATCAATAGGTTTGATTTATCCAAGGAATTGATTAGATAGTTGACAAACAGGATGAAAGAACCGAGAGAGGATATCTGGGGAACTAAAGTGTTACATGCTTCACGGAAAAATCAGAGAGGCTGCCTCAAGGGACCAGGTGTCTTTCAAGATTGAGAACTGAGTTATGCAGAAAGAAACCTCACACTATGGGCAGGGCAAGTGCAAAGCAGAAACTAGATGGGGCAAAAAAAACTGAAAAATGCCTCGTACTGATCCCCAAATTGAAGCCACCTGACCTAAAACAGCTATTTCTTTCCATGGAGAAATCTAAACAGTGCGGGCATTCCTGGAGTTATCTCCAGACCAATCTTACTTAACATTTTCATAAATGATCTGGTAAGGGTGTGATACAGCAGAGTCTGCGGGTCTGTTGGTGACCCCAAGCTCTCCAGGAGAATGAAATGGCAAACTGAGAGAGATGAATGAACTGGGGAAGCTGTCAAAGGGCCATGTGAGAAGGTAGAAAACTACAGATCACATTCCTCACTAGCAAGGTGAAAATCGTTCAAACTACTATTAACAGATGATAGGCCCGAAGCCATCAGCTGCAAGTCAGAAATTAGGACTGAAAATGGCTGAGGACAATGTCCTACAGGGGTTGATCTAACAGCTTTCTGCAGCCTCCAAGTCCAAGAAACTAAATATCATCACAAAGGGTGCAGGAAGCAATGGGCAAAATTACCCCACCCTACTCATAATCACAAGCCATGCACATCTGGACTGCTGTGCACAGTGCTGGTTATTACACCCAATAAAGACATGAAAGCTAGAAAGAGGTCCAAAGAGGGATAGTTAGAATGATGAAGGGGATGTAGAAAGACTGCTCCATGAAGAAAAACCCATAAAACCACCCTTCGCATCTAAAAACTGGAGCAGAGTGGAGTGGCTACCAGCCAGGCTCTGGACTTAGCTGGACCTAAGCCTGAATCTTGTTCCCGCCCCTCACCAGACAGGTGGCCTTGGGCAAGCTACTCAACCTTGGGTTTCACCACCTTTGAACTGAGGCTCAAAGAACCGATGGCATCGGCACAGAATCCATAATATATATGGGGTGCCTAGCACACAGCAGGAGAGGAAGAACATGATGGTAGCCAAGGCTTGGGAGTCAGACAGACCTTGTTTCAAATCCGAGGTCTCTAGATTACTAGCTGCGTGATTTGATCAACAGAATGTGAGGCTGCTTCTTAAAGCTTCAAGATGTAGGACTCTGCAAAGCAGACAAACAATACCCCAAATGTACTTCGTGACATAGGCTGCAAACAGATTTCCTTCAAACAAACAAAACGGCTCAGGTAAACACATGGGTCCCCTTTTGGGATATAATGGATGATAAAACAAAATGAAGAGACTTGAAGGTTTATGTTTAAATTTAAGTCTGAGATCAGGGGAAAGACCAGTGCACTGAATTAAATGTGGGACACAATAGATGGGCACCATCATAGGTATAATGTAGTCTTGATTGGAACTGCATCTAACTTAGTGCAGTGATACGTCCACTGTTTTATACCTGTTTTAGCTCCGTGATTGATACAACTTCAAATACACATCTTAGACAACCATCTAGTCATGCAGACAATATAATAGACATATGAACTACAAATTCAAGTTCTTCTGCTCCATGCAAAAACATTGATGACACTGAGAATAAATCAGCAAGGTATTACTTAATACTTTTTAACTAAACTTCTAAAAACTTGAAATTTGATTTAGTCTAATACACAAAGTCCTTCCAGAAAGGGTAAGTTAAAATTTGTTTTTAAAATGATAGTACAAACTCTGCATTTTTTTGTTAGAAACACAGAAAGTAATTGTTCAGACTATTTATCGATAAATATAAAAATTCTAAAAATTAAACCAGTATCTTCAGAAGGACAGAAATCCATTTGGAAACAAAATGTGAACTTGTACATACATATAAATAAATTAGGCCACAGAAATATGATTTAAATATTTAAGTAGTACAGACATTCTGTCATGCAACATAAATTTATAATAAACATTGTTTAATTACTCCCACTTGTTTGATTTCACCTAATGGGCGTCAAATAACATGGCTCTGGCTTTTGCAACATAGTAAAGGCCATCACCCTCACCACAAGGCTGGTTTTATAGTCACTGAGAAACAATGTTACCAAAACAACACCAACAAAATCACCTACTAATTAAACTCGCTACTTTAGTTCTAATGATTTGTATGACATAATTTAGCTCAGCCACAATTACACTTCAGTGAAATATAACAACGCTGAAGGAGGTACTATCTCTAGAGTTATGAAACTTAAGGTTTTCAATGGTATCAATACTATTACTAACACTAGTGTAATAAATAATACTAAAGCTAAGATAAATTTTGCATGGAATCACAGTGAGAGATAACACAGCACAGTGGCTAAGAGAGAGGGCTTGATATTCAAGCCCTGCTCCCCACTGCTTAACTGTGTGACCCAGGCAAGTTACTTAACCTCTCTGAGCCTTCATTTCTTCACCTCTAAAATGGGAAAAACAATAGAATCTACCTCACAAGCTGCAATGCCTGGCAGACAGTACTCAATAAATCTTAACTGTGGCTGATATTATTGTTGTTGTTGTCATTTTATTATTATTACCACAGTTTATGAAGAACTTTCACATGCAGTAGCTTATGACATTAAGCAAATGCACAAAGAAATACTTCATTTAAAATTTAATTACATCACATGTCAAATACATGGGAAAGGGTATGATTCCCACCATCCTTTGGCTCTTTCCAACAAACCAGAGGGCAACAGAGAGTCATACATAAAACGTGATTGGATGGAAATAAAAGTCATGTACAGATGTAGGGGTTAATAACAGCTAGCACTTCTTGAGTACTCACAATGTTCCAGACAGTTTACTAAACATTTCAGATGTGTTACCATCACTTAATGTTGCTATTATAAATGCTGCCCTTGAGGAATGGAGTCCCGCCAGTTACAAAACCTGCCCACGGTTACTACTAAGTTGACTCAGGCAGGTGGACTTCAGAGAACATGCCAGCACGCTACCCTGCTGCTCAGGACTGACTTCCTTTGAAAACAAACATTTTTAAAATACTCTAATCACTTTGTTTATTACCAACAACGGAAACAACCAGTACCATGCTCGCCTCTCTAAATGGCAGGCACATACCCACTTCTCGTGAGCCATCTTTCCCCTGGACCAGCAATTCTCTTGCAACTGTTTTAATGAGGATCATCTACATTCTCATTCCTACTGAGGAATACTTTTCATTGTGCTTCTACAATTCTAGTTTACATATTTACTGTAAATATATCATATATATGAGTTAAATAATTCTATCATTGTAGAACTCCCTTGAAATATAATATAGACTGATCTTGGTTACTGAAAAACGTCACAACAAAAATGTTCCTTTTCACTAATATAATCATCATCTCATTCAGGGTCTTAACATGCAGTTCAGTAACCCATGAATCCTCAATCGTAAATAAATGTTAGATGCATACAGATATAAGCATTTTCCTGGTTTGGAAAACTGTTGCTTTCATCAGATTCCTCAAAATGTTTCCAAAATGTTAAAAAAAAAAATCATTCATTTAAAGATCCTCCCCAAACAAATTATATCATTATATAAATTTTAAAAGGCTTTGGGGTTTTCAAACAAAATATTCTCTGAAATTCAATGTTTTATGATTTCATGCCAGAGTGACAGTGGAATCCACAAGGGACAGGATTCTGGATTAAGAACATGGAGAACTGCTCCCAGAGAAATTCTCTGCATGAGTGACCTTGAGGAAATCACCTACCATTTCTGGACTTAGCTCCATGATCTGGAAAATAATTATATTTTAATAGGTGATTTCAGGGTTTTCTCCCCAGCTCTGTGATTCTACAACATAACAGTGCCACACACACTATGCAAAATAAGACAAACATTACTTAAGCCACTTACATCACTAATGAGTTGGGTGCATTTTTTGGCCAATTCCATCCTCAGGTCGTCAATAACAGGCTTAAAGAATACCTGCCCGGAAAACAAGGAAACACTGTTCTAATCATCAGCTTAAAGCAACAAATACTGTTCCTCAGCAGGTGCCTTCCCACTCACCTCATCTTCTTCATTTTCTTCTTCCCCTGTTTTTTCCTCTTCAGTTTCATCTTTTACATCCTCGAATACAGGGACCTTCATTTTTACTCTTTATATGTATATATATATATTTGTGTATATATATATATATTTTTTTTTTTTTTTTAATTCACCAGTGTAGCACCTTTCTATGTACTACAGCACCCTGAGATCTCAGAGTCTCTGGTGTTCTGGCAAGAATGACCTTGCCCAGCCTCCTCCCCATTTAGCTCACACTTCACTCTCCTTATCACAACTGTGTGTGAGTGGATGGAACAGGATCGCAGAGTTCGGCCAGAGCTAGCCTCCCAAGTGGAAATAACATTCTAACAGGCAAATTTTAAATTTACGAACTTTTAAAGTCAACATTCTTTAAATTGGTTAAGAAATCCCAAAGAGACTATTTATTTATACTTCATTAATTCGATTCATTCATAAAATAGCTTGAAAGAGACTTAAAGATTCTGGGAACACTACTCCGCTGTAACACTCAAGATAGCAGAGTCCACAGCCTGTTATCTCAAAGATTCCTCAACTCCATCTAAATAAAGCTTTCGCTGGAATGTCAGACATACCTCTTCTGATTTGGTATAGTGAATCTGGATCATTCAAACTCATTTCATTAACCTAAATTAAATTTTTATGAGACATATATGTACTTCTCACATTCTAAAAAATACTCATATTAGCTGATTAAAGGCTAGTAATTTATTATGAAAAGCCCTTTGAACCACTTCAAAGAATCTATTCTGAGATAATTATGACTGTTAATCTTATATTGCTATTGTATTATTTTAATTGTAAACATCATTAAACTTGAGAAGTTGCAGTTAACACAGGTTGATATATCACTTAAGAATTCTAGAAACATCATTTCAAAAAAATAATAATTATCCTCTTTCAATTCTGCACATTGTGTCAATTTTTACAAATTTACTAGTTATTTGCATATTCCTCAATATGTACTACACATTTGGAAAAGTTTAGAAGAATTAACTATAACAATATGTATACTGTGGTATGTGTCATTGGTTATACAATTAAAATACATTTCATAAAACAAGTCCTTTAATTTCAATTTAGGCAATCCTAAGATGCTATGCAACTCATAATTTATCAATTTGGTTATTTAAATCCAAGGGTAAACTAATATTTATAAAGCCATAGCTTTATAAATAAAAAAAAAAACCCTATAGTGAATAATGAAACTAATTATGTAAAATATAACTTTGTTCAAAATAAATACATCATTCTAAGTACTCAAGTATAATGCCGTTTTCTCTTAATATCATATCTAGTTTTAAATTTATTTTTTTAATTGTCTTGGCCTTGCCTAAACTAATCTGACAAGAAAAAAATTCTACACAGTTATCATGTATAGATTATTTCTCAAATTGTGTTCCATGAGGCTGAAGTTCCACAGAATATTCTGGAGGGGAAAACGGGGTTTCTTAAACAAATAGGAGTGGGGAAACCTGTATACTTATCTCTGCTCCAGCCACTTAGAGATCCACATGGCATAATGACACATTGAAGTTCTGAGAAAACCCACAACCAAGAAAACTATTTAAATTTGCTTAACCCAGCATTTCCCAAGCATGAAATCCTAGATTAGATATCTAATCTAACCTATCTATCTACCCATCAATTTTTTAATATGTGATACTCCAGAAAACTAACATTCTTCTGTGAAATATTACTTAGGGAAACACTGTTCTATTCTGAAAAAGTACTGTATTCGAGAAGAATTGTTGGTCTTTTTCATGAAATGATTTTTGATACAGGCTAACTTAATGGTATCCCATATCCTGCTTACCAGCAAAGTGCCAAAAAGAAATGCCCCAGGGGTGCTGAATTTGGAAATCTTCACTTAAAAATAACAGCCATGTCATGTCCAGGGTAGAGAATTCTACAAGGAAATTCTCTGTACATTACATTTGTTCCATAAAGGAGCAGAATGTGTGGGAGCTGATTGTTTCTCTCAAGTCCTCTGCCTAAAGATTCTTCTAATATTCTATAGAAGATCCATTACATTATCTTTATTTAGAAATAGGGAAGAGCAAATTTCTATAAGCTTTTCTTGCAAACCTCTAGAAGCGTAGCGAGAAAATCTTGCCAAAGCTGCCCAGATGCACATCTTGGCTAGTGCTGGAGGTGACAATACTTGTGTTGCTCATGGTGATATCTATTTCCCATGGTGAATTACCTTCATCAAACTTCAACGGCTGCTATTTTTTCATTTCCCATCATGTAATAAGTTCTTATTGACTTTCCACTGTGCTGAAAGAAAACAATCTGTTGAGATTATGCACAAAAGTTTTGAAAGCAAAACCAAACACCATATGCAATGTGAACCTAGATTTTCCATTTGAGATTTTAGAAGAATTTTTAAGCCGAGGGGATCCTTAAGAAATCAATCCTACAAAAGCCCTCTCTTTTACAGAGGACAAAATTAAGGTCAAGAGAAATTAATTATTTGTCTCATTCACAAAGTTATTCAATGGAGCACTAGGACCAGAACTTAACCAAAGCCTTAAGTTCATTCATTCAAGTAAGTGTTGTTATGCAAGGCACTGTGCTTGGTGTTAGAGAAGCAATGGCGAGTAAAATATCCTTTGTGCTAAGTAGGAAATAAAAAATCCATCATTCAAGACTTGCTGGGTGAACTCCTTAATGGCCTGTTTGGCAAGCTAGACACATTATGACTTTTGATTGAATGCATCTTTTTTCTTTTCACTATAAGTATAATATAAAATTCATGTAAAGTTTTCTCTAAAACATTTTAAGCCCTGCACTTTATCACTGCAAAGCTCTCTTGTCAATAGCTCCAAAATGTGATTTGGGGAATAAGAAGGAAGTGTTCTTCATGGATAGCTATCGTGTTTCAAAATTGCCTATCATCCTGTTTGTTTAAAAAAAAAATCAAGTTAAATGTTATATTTTAATACATTTTTCTCCTTGGGGAGACCCAAAAGGGAATATCTGTATAGCTGCTAATCCCTTTTACTTATTGAGCATTTCACATTTATGCTGTCTACTTTTTGCTGTAGTGCTCTACCCATGTTCTGATACAGAATGAGACCAACATGGGGATCACATTACTTTTGACTAGACTCCCTACTTCCAGGTCTGGCTCTCCCACATCCTCTAGGACAAATTATTTAATCCCTCTCAGTCTCTAATTCCCCATAGTTAAACAGATAAACTGAATCGTCAGAAGTTAATAAAAGGAGAGCACTTTAAAAATAGGAAAGCCCTTTACAAACACGAGATTTTCAACTATCCAATAAAGGTACACATTTCCAGGAAAAGCACTGGATATAAAAGATCTTCTCCTTTGAAAGGGTAAGATTGTACACCATCAATATCTTTTTTTTTTTTTTTTTTTTAAAGATTTTATTTATTTTTTTTTCCCCCAAAGCCCCAGTGGATAGTTGTGTGTCGTAGCTGCACATCCTTCTAGTTGCTGTATGTGGGACTCGGCCTCAGGATGAACAGAGAAGTGGTGCCTCGATGCGCACCCGGGATCCGAACCCGGGCCACCAGCATCGCAGCGCGCGCACTTAACCACCAAGCCACAGGGCCGGCCCCATCAATATCTTTTTAAAGGCCAGAAGGACCTCATACAGCATAATAGCCTAAAGATAAGCGCTAACTTGTGTATTTGTAATATAGAAATCTTCAGTCTCTTTATAGTTAGATATTTATGTGTAAGTAAATGTATTCCCATAGCAACTGCTGAGTCATGTGGGTAATTCAGGTCTCCGGGGAACACAGGCCCTGGCCAAGGAAATGAGTCTATAGCACCATCATGAGTCACACGGTGCTTGACTGTCTTCGGTGTTCTTAAGGTCACACACGACAAGGATCTCTTGGGTTTTGACAAATGTTTCATACTTATTTCACTTTTTTTTGGGGGGGGGGGTGAGGAAAATCGGCCCTGAGCTAACATCCATTTGCCACTCTTCCTCTTTTTGCTGAGGAAAATTAGCCCTGAGTTAACATTTGTGCCCATCTTCCTCTATTTTGTATATGGGATGCTGTCACAGCACGGCCTGACGAACGGTGCACAGGTCCACACCCAGGATCCAAACCTGCGAACCCCAGAGCTCATGAAATTAACCACTACGCCACCAGGCCGGCCCCCTTTCTTTCCTTTAGAGTGATAGAACATGTGCTTTTCCCCAACATGGTCACGAACGACTTGCAAATAAAAATCCATAATAAACAATTGAAATAGATTGAGATTCAGTTCTGAGTTGAAGAAAACTTAGAGATAAACTAATGTTTTCCACTTTAAAAAGTAATTAAACATTTCTTATTATAAAATATCCCCCCTAAACGGTTAGATGAGAAAGGAATTCATTCATCTGACTTGTTTGCCTGCCTTGGCAGTCTCTTCACATATCGTTTTTAGTTGCCTAGGTTTTTTTGATGACAATCTCCCAGAAAGTTCTTGCTTCTGAGTTGAATCTCTGATTATTTTACTTTTGCCTCATATAGTTCCTCATCGTTTGGCATCTGTCCAAAAGAGAACTTGACTAATAGATGAAGGGGAGAAATCACTTCTCAAAACAAGAAATGTAAGCTCTCTAGGGCAATATGTCTTCTTTACAAAAGAGAAGAGTTCTGCTTAATATTAGCTCAATCTATTTTTACACTTTACATTCATTAAGCCTATCTTCTCCTTTTTAATGGCTATTTCATTACTGACTGTTAATTAGAAATCAGAAGAACACAAAGCAACCTGAATAATTGTCATCATTACCAATTATGCCATTAAAATAAGATTTAATAGAGTGTTTTTCCATATTCATATTCCTATTTTCACAAATATAGATGCTACTCACACATGAGAGCCACATATCTAGACTGGTATTAGAGGAAAAGAACAAGAAACTGCAAATAATTTTTAACACAACAATTTCCAGGTTGGGATACCAAAATTAAAAATATCTATTCTTCTAAATATATTGACAGGAAAAGAAAAAGTATTCTTATTTAGAGTCTACATTATACATAAGCAGCCAGGGAACTGAAAGACTTTGGTTTAATTTGAGATTACTTGAGACATTAGTTCAGTTAAATAACAATGAAGCTAATACCTTAATCATTTCCCCAACCCTTCCCCCTGAGAGAAGCCCAAGATTTGAATGGCCTCTGTGTGGC